AGTCCGCCTTGCGCGCCGCCTCCGCCGCGGCGTCCTTGAATTGGCAGCGGCATGCTGGGGGCGCAAACTGGCGAGCTTGGCGTGCCCTGTCTGCAAGGCGCTCTGGATGAGCGGGTCGGCGGTGACTTTGATAGCGTTCGCCAAGTGCTCGAGGGATCCCGAGCTGTCCTGCGCAGCGGCGGTGTCCTGCTTCAGGATGGTCTTGGGGTTGTCGGCACTGCTCTGCTGGGTGGTGCTGTACTCATCGAAGCTGACCTTCGTCTTGCCCTTGCCGCTGCCTGCGGACTTGGATCGGCTGACGTGCAAACGAAGCTGACGATGATATTGCGAGCACTGCTTTGGATTTCGCTCCAGCAGGGTAATTTCGCCCATCTGCTATTCGGAAGTGCCACGTAGCCCCAGAGCGGTGGCAGCTGGGAGGGCGAGGAGGCAGAAGGGCTGAGGGGGCCCGACCTGGAAACGCTGCGCGGTTACGAGAAACAAGTTGCGAGACGCCAGAGCGGAACATGGGTGGTAGTCGGGAGTGGCGCCCGTGGGCATGTCGGGGGGGCGGGGCTTTTGGGCGGGGCGGGGGATGGAGAGCCAGTTGGCGAGTGCAGCGCTCTGTCGCATACGTAGCATAGCACAGTCATGCTGTGAACGCGAGCAGATGCGCATCACAATTAACGTGTAGGCAGGCGTGCATTTGGGAATGACAGAGGCTGTAGACGTGTGTTACCGACGACTACTCCGATGGCTTTGCCCGTGTATTTTCACACCCTGGAAACATCGCGACAGATACTTCATACACGCGAAGCCCACCTGGAACACCCACTGTTCTCCAAGTTTCCCCTTTCCTGCCAGAGCCTTACTTGAGCCGCCCCCGAGCTCCCTCAGGAGGCTCCAAACGCCCTTGCGTGACTGGGGGGTGAAGGGGGGGAAATGGGCAGGTCACGTCGCGATTCGTGCCGGCGATGTCTGGGAATGCTTGGGTACTATTACTTCCCAGACGGTGCCGGTGCGATTCGTGACGTGACCAAGGGGGGCAATTGGGGGAGGGGCGGTCACAAGAGCGTCCGCGAATAATAAACAAGCTCGCGGGCCCCACAAGAGGTTCCAAGATGAGTTCAAGACGGCCTCAGGAAGCCATGTTTGCTTGAGGCGACTCTGCATCGATGTTCTCGTGATCTGTTCTAGATTCTAGACGCTTCCCGTGACCTCGTCAGCCCCTCCAGATCCGATGGCCGGACGAGTTTCCCTGAGCAAGGATGTGTAGGAGCATGCGGTGGAATCCAGGGCTGAGTAAGATATCGTACCCCAAGAGGGGGGGGATGGAGGAGGAATCGGAGGAAGAGGATGGAGAGGGGGAGTCGTCGTCGTCGTCGTCGTCGTCGTCGTCGTCGTCGTCGTCGTCATCGTCGGACCGTTGCATGAGCTCCAGGCTGTACTCCCAACTACTCAACCGATTCGAAAGAACATAGAGGATGAAACCAAATGAAAATCAAGAGGGCGCTCGCGTTCCTCGACTGGGTCCCTGATGAGGAGCTGTCCTCCTTGGGCGAATACCAGGGCGCTACGGCGAGATACTCGCGGGCGCGCGCTAGTGCCCTGGCATTCCTGCGGCGCTGGGCCTCTGCTCGGTGGAGGGCGATCCTCGCCTGCTGCTCCTTCGTGAGCTGGGGAGGAGGAGGAGGAAGAGGAGGAGGTGGAGGAGGAGGAGGAGGAAGATGAGCAGGAGGCGAAGGAGAGGGGGCGAAAGGGGAGACCTCCAAAGCCCGCTGCTCGGTCGAAGTCGGCTGGCTGGGTGGGGGGGGTCGTACCAGGCAGAGTCTATCGGATTCTCGTCCTGGGGAAGGGGGCTACAGGAAAGCTCCTTTCCCCTTGGACTCCAGAAAAAAACGATGAATTACAGGGTCAACACGTTTTGAATTCCCCTGGTCCCGCTTGCCGCCGGCGACGTCTGGACCGAGGGCGACTTCCTGGTCACATTCGTGTGTCCACGGAACGCAGACATGCTTGCGACTGTTGACTATTCATCACGTCCTGGCAATTTGCTCCATAAGCGAACTCTGCTGTCTTATACGGTGCTGCTACCTGTGGCGCGCTGTGAACGGTGGCGTCGGCCACGGCCTTACACGCTCTGCTGGGGCGAATTTTCTTAGAAGGTTCGCCAGGCTCGGTCACTCCCGCGGCCCAGGAGCGTCAAGCGGGAGCCTTTTCCATGAGAGCACGCGCCCTGGCCGGGCGTGGAACGAAGCAACTCCTGGAGCCTGGGTGCCTGGACGTGCGGATACACATCATGCTGGTGCTCGCGCTGATCGAAGTCAGTGGCAGAGGAAACGGGAGAGGAGATGAGGGCGACGGGGAGAGCCACTTCCATGAGGTGCGAGCAGCTCTAGCCCACGTCGCTGGGATGGGGTGCTGCATCCACCCCCCCTGTCCCAGCACGGAGTTCTTTGGACAACATTAAGATTAGAGCCTGAAGGAGCTGCCCTCCTATTCTAAGCTGCCCTTGATGCTTGGTAGAGCAGCCTGGGATCCCCCAAACATCTTCCAGGATCAGAATGATGCTGGTGAGGATTAAGTTAATGATGATGCTGCTTATGATGCTGCTGATGATGCTGACGCTGATGCTGATGATAATGCTAATGATGATGATGATGATGATGATGATGATGATGATGATGATGATGATGATGATGATGATGATGATGCTGGTGGTAATGATGATGATGCTGCTGTTGCTGGTAGGAAGGTAGTATTGTGATGTTTATGATGATGGTGATGATGATGACAATGCTGATGATGGTGATGATGATGAGGATGATGATGATTATGATGGTGGTGGTGATGGTGATGCTTGTAATCGTGATGGTGATGATATCGATGACAGTTTCGGTGGTAGTGGCAGTGATGCTGATGGGCTGTTGATGATGATGATGATGCTGCTGATGATGATGATGATGATGATGATGATGATGATGATGATGACGATGTCTGGTTGTGGTGGTGATGGTGGTGATGATGATGAGGATGAGGAGGAGGAGGATCAGGAGGAGGAGGGCGAGGAGGAGGAGGAGGATCAGGAGGAATAGGATAAGGAGGGGTGAAGAGGAGGAGGAGGAGGATTTAGGAGGAGGTTGGGGGGGAAGGAAGGGGATGATGATGATGATGATGATGATGATGATGATGATGATGATGATGATGATGATGATGGTGATGGTGATGGTGATGATGGTGATGATGATGATGCTGATGATGATGATGGTGGTGATGATGATGCTGATGTTGGTGATGATGATGGTGATGATAATGGTGATGATGGTGGTGGTCGTGCTGCTGGTGATTGTGATGCTGACGATGATGACGATGAGTATGGTGGTGGTGGTGGTGATGGTGTTGGTAATGGTGATGATGGGGAAGAGAAGGAGGATCAGGAGGAAGAGGGTCAGGAGAATGACGAGGAGGACCAGTGTAAACATAAGTCCCATCAGCGATATTGCAGTCAACGTGCCGTCCAAGGTCCCTCTTCATAGGCCTCTACAAGGAACGTTTTTCACAGAAGGTAGTGCATTGTTAGAAGAACAATCGTTCAACAAATCTGGAATTGTCCTAGAACACCATTCCTGGGTGGTCAGCGCCGCGAATCACCGTTACTGACGCGTCTTGGCGACCCTGAATCTGGCCAGAACACCATTTCTGGGGCCTCAACACCACGAATCAACGTTACTGTTGCGCCCTGACAGTCCGACATCGTGCCAAACCACCATCTCTGGGAAACTGATGCTGAAAAGGAACCGCCCTCCCTCCGTGAAACTTTCTATGACGGGTGTGTGCGGCGCTATGGCGAGAGCCATATCTTGAAAACGTCTCGCCCTCCATCTGTGGATTGACTGCAATGAAGAATTGTGTGCGCGGCGATAAGGCCAAGGCGAGAGCAACATTTCGAATTCCAAATTTTTGAAACGGATATGCGCGTCGCTTAGGCAAGAGCCACATTATGAAGGCCACCTGTCCTCAATCGGTGAAACTGCTTCAACTTTTTAGAGCGGATGTGCGCGGCGCTGAGGCGAGAGCCACATTTTGAAAGTGACCCACCCTCCATTCGTGAAACTGTTTCGTATGTTAAGCTTCAGAATCGTAAATGGTGAGGAATTCTCAGGCGAAACGCCCGGCCCGCCCTTCCGACTGGCCTCCGGGTGCGACGGGGAGGTGTAATTCAAAAGGGAAGGAATGGAGGATGAGGAGGAGGATGAGGAGGAGGACAGCTATCACCCCCCTGGGTGATGGTGATGGTGATGGTGATGGTGATGGTGATGATGATGATTATGATTATGATGACGACGATGATGATGATGATGCTGATGACGATGCTGATGCTGATGATGATGATGATGATGCTGCTGCTGATGATGATGATGATGATGATGACACTTATTAGTATTAATAGTAATACTCTTATTCTAATATTCCTATTATTATCAGGATGCTGATAATGATGCTGCTGATGATGATGATGATGATGATCATGATGCTGATGATGCGGATGATGCTGATGATGCTGATGATGATGCTGATGATGACGATGATACTTTATGATGGTTATGATGTTGACGACGACGATGTTGACGACGCCGATGATGATGCTGCTGATGATGATGATGATGATGATGGTGGTGATGATGTTGCTGATGATGATGATGATGGTGGTGGTGGTGATGATGATGATGATGATGATGATGATGGCTGCTGCGGCTGATGATGAATCTGATGATGATGAGGGGGAGGAGGAAAAGGAGGAAGATGAAAAGGAGGAGGAGCAGAAGTAGGAGGATCAGGAGGAGGAGGAGGAAGAGGAGGAGGAGGAGGAGGAGGAGGAGGAGGAGGAGGAGGAGGAGAAGAAGAATCAGGAGAAGGAGGAGGCGAAGGAGGGGGAGGAGGAGAAGGACCAGGAGGAGGAGGATGAGGAGGAGGAGGAGGATCAGGCGGAGGAGGATGAGGAGGAGGAGGTGAGGGGGGAGGCCCGCCTCGCCGTCGGCGCCTCGGAGCTCCTCCGCTCCTCGGTCGACGCGCGGCTCGCCCCTGTTGAGCCGCTGTCGCTGGAGGACCTCGGCTCGGCGCGCTCCCTCGGGGAGGGCACCGCCGCCATGGCGCCGGCGCTCCGCGGATTCAGCACTGGGGCACGGGGAGCGCGCGGCCCCCCCAGGGAGCCGCGGGCCCCGAATGTCCGATGGCTCCCAGATGGCTCCCAGATGGGGTCAGAGTGGATGGGTGTTCGGGTGTTCGGTAGCACAGGGTGGGTGGGAGGGAGAGGGGCGTCCGGAGATGCAGGGCGATGGGGAGTTCGTGGGGAAGATGAGAGCGGAGGGGATGATGAAGGCGCTCTCCGCCGCCTGGTGGCCCAGGGGCGTTTCGCTCCCCTCGGGTCCCCGTCTCGGACACGAGGCGGCCCGAACGAGCAGGAGGGACGGCTGTGCGGGGACGACGCCTTCGGGAGCAAATCATGGAAGCCTTGTATACCCTCGCATTTTTTTAGATTGCACTGGCGTCGATTAGCATGTGGCAGTCGATGCGAAGTCGATTAGCGTCGATGAGCGTTGATTGGCGTCGATTCGCAGGAGCCATCAAGATGGTACGGGAGGCCCCCATGGGTCGAAGGATCGCTCCGCATCGCCGATGCATCGACGATGCGGCTCGTGTGGAGTCCGACGTTTTCCACGCTGACGGCGCCGATGCGTCGCTTCCGTCCGTCGCCGACACTTCGTCGATGAATCGGGGATGCATCGGCGATGCGGTCCTCGGACCCCACCTACTCGGATCCAATGTGAGAGGCCTCTACTCCTTCGCCCGCTAGTGAGGGTCATATTTCTGGGGTTCAGAGCGCCCAGAGATCCAATGTATTGAAAACATCAAGACGGATATTTACTCGCTTCGTTCTTTCCGCCAGCCCGTATTGTGCCAACGCTGGCGTTTGCCTGCGCGTTCGTGGCCCATGCGGCGCTGTTAGGCGGTGGTCTTTTTCTGGAGGCGTGGCGGCAGCAGGCATGGAGGTGAAGTAAAAGCCTCTGCTGTCCCACCGCCATGCTTGGGTTGTGGGTAGGAGACCTCAGGGATGCTTCTTGGGGTCTCTTCGGAGCACTCTCGTGGGCTTCTGGGGGGCAGTTTTGAGGCTTCTCAGGGACACCTTGGGAGCCTCTTGGGGGCCTCTTGGGACTTCCTGGGGGCCTTTCGTCGGCCTCTTGGGGCCTCTTGGGGCCTCTTGAAGCCCCTTGGGGCCTCCTGGGGGCTTCTTGGGGCCGATGCTCGACATGTCCGTTCGGGTCCCCCATCTTGGCTCCTTCTTGGAGCCGCCTTGGGGGCCTCTTGGACCGTTTTTGGAGGCCTCTTGAGCCGTCTTGGGCCCTCGTAGGCCGTCTTGGGGCCCTCTCGGAGGCCTGTTGGGCCGTCTTACGGCGATCTTGGAGGCCTCTAGGGCCGTCTTGGAGTGTTGGAAAGCCGAAGAGGCGAGAACGCCCCAAATTCTCAAACACAGAATTGTATTTTTTCCTCTTGGGGGCATCTTGGGAGGAGGCTTCAGGGGGCGTCTTGGAGGCCTCTTGGGCCGTCTTGAGTCCATCTTGGGCGTCTTGAAACAGTCTTCGGGCGTCTCGCACCCTTCTTGGACTGGCTCGGGGGCCTCTTGGGACAAACTGGACCCGTCTTGGGGCCGCCCCGGGAGTTGTTACGGCATCCTTGGGCGGAGTGCCGCGGGAGTGCCTCGAGAGTGTCTCGGGAGTGTCTCGGGAATGCCTCGAGAATGTCTCGGGGGGTGTCCCAGGAGTGTTCCGGGTTTTTTTCGGCCTGGGACCCCCAGGAGCCGCCACGCGCTCGCGAACCAGAAACATCGTAGATTTGTTACCGTAGATCTTGACCAGCGTTTTTTCTGTTCGGCCTCTGGGGGTTGCCGGGCCGTGGGAGCGTCAAAACACGGCCATGGATGGAAATCGGTTCCTGGGGCGTGACCACGAGGTCGGGGGCCCGTGTCTCGAATAAATCGCGAGGGGGGGGGGGAGGGGGCTGGTCATGTCACGATTCGCGCGGGCGCCGTCTAGGAGTGCTCAGGACTGGCTCATTCCCACACGGCGCCGCCGGCGCGAATCATGACGTTGCCACGGGTGGGGAGGGGGGGCGGGGCCGGCCACATGCGTTATCGCGAAGAATTAGAAAGGGTTTTCAATGGGGTTCGTCTTTCTGGGGGTCAGAGCAATCCCCAGGAGAGTCAATGAGGCAATCTGCGGCGCGAAAGAGGTGGCCCGGGCCAGCGCAAGCCAGAGAAATTGTCAACAGCATGCAACATATAAGCACGCCTTGTGAGACATACGCGGCCCCAGGAGAAGAACATCAAAGGTGTAAGGTATCGAACCCCCAAGAAGCTGAGCCCCCTCAGCAGGCGTGCAGAAGCCCCGTCGCTGGTCATTGGCGCGTCATTGGGCCCAGGTCCCCTCCGCGTCGTGGCGGGGGAGGTCCGCGGCGGGAGGCTTTTGCTGGCCCCTCCCCGGCCTCCGGGGGCCCCTCTCGGGCTGGCCTCGGGGTCGTCAGAAATCGACTCGGGGTGAAATTTAGCATCGCTCGGGCGTGTGCATCGTTTTCGGCAAGCTCACCGCCAGAAAGTCTGAACCATTTCGGAGCATCTTGGTTTCTCTCTTGTCCGCCACGGAAGTATGTACACAGGTACACTTCAATGGTTTGTTCCTGGTCCTCAGGGGAGGATGGCGGTGTATAAATCACCATTGAGAATCAGCGACTTTTACACCTCCAACCCCCCTGAAAGTTCACGCAAAGTTCGTCGTTGGGTGTCTTTGTATATACTGTCGTGGCGGGTCTTGAGAAACAACATGCGAACGAAACCAAACAGTGCACGGGGAACGGACGTCAGAGCGATGGAATGGACACGCCAGTCTTACGTCATCGAGAGGAACCCCTTACCCTACTATGACAATGAAGATGTAGGCTCTAAGTTGGGTCCCCGTGCTTGCGTCAGAGATACGAGCCTGGGTGGTTCAGCTCGGCACGTCTGCAGCGAGGGCCCCTGCCCCTGATGCCTTGCGCCTCTCAGCTGAGGTCCGCTCCCAAAGGGTCAGGGCTCCCTTCGCCGCTGATCACTGCGGGGCTCGTCGGGGCCGTGGCTCCCGGGCCGTCGTTCTCCCCGGGCCTCAGCCAGCGGCCTCAGCATCGAGGGGTCCTGCGGCCGCGGCACGGGCACGACGCCGTCCACGGCGGCGTCGGCCGGCGCGGCGCGGCGGGCGGCCGCGGGATGGGACGCCCAGTACTCTCCACTGGACAGGTCTTCTGGTTCTCTGCTCCTCCCCCGGCCCCACGTCGGTGGTTCAAGGATGACTTGAGGTAGGAAAGGGGTGTGGCATAAAGGGGTGTGGTGCCAATACTGAGTCTGGCGATGCCATCTATCGTAGAGAGCATCTCGATTTCCACGATTGGCACCGTACCCCTTTATGCCACACCCCTTTCCTAATTACCTCCAGAGGATGGGGTCCTGAGGAACGGGGTCCCAGGGACGAGGGGCCTCAGAGAATGTGACTGCACCCTTGGATCCCTTCCCATCCTCGGTCCTCGGGCCCCCATCCCTCGGGGCCCCAGCTTTGAACCCTCGACCTGTCTGCCCCTCGATCTTTCTCTTCCCCTCCCCGCCGTCCTCCTCGTCCCCCTCCTGCTGCTGTAACGGCGGGCGGTGTCCCTCTGTACGCGGCCCGTCCACCCATCCCGAAACTAAGCTCACGGCCGATCCTTCCAAGGAGCGCCAGAGCATTTCGACCCTCGTGTTCGTCCTCGTCCTCGTCCTCGTCCTCGTCTTTGTCTTTGTCGTCGTCGTCGTCTGCCTCTTCTTGGTCCTCCTGGCCCTTGCCTGCCCCCTCCCTCCTCTTTGCACCCTCGCCCTCCGCGCCATTCCATCGTCTTCGTCCTCGTCCTCTGCGCCCTCGTCCTCGTCCTCGTCCTCCTCCTCCTCCTCCTCGTCCCCCTCCTCCTTCTCCTCCTCCTCGCCCTCCCCATCGTCCTCGTCCTCGCCCTCTGCGCCCTCGTCCTTGTTCTTCTCCTCCTTCTCCTCCTCCTCGTCGTCCCCCCTGTCCCCAAGGCTGCGATATGTGATCTTGACCCCGTCTCTCTCGGTGCTGCCGCCGAGTGGACCGACGCAGGGTGCCCGACGCGAACCTCCAGCGAATCTCCTCGTCCTCGTCCTCGCCCTCTGCCCGAGATGCGACGTAGCGAACACAAATGCAGGAAACATTACGACCGGAGCCCGGACCCCATCCTCCTCCGCTATGTCTCGAGCTGGATCGATCTGTGACGGTCCCGGGGATCGAAAGTTGGCGAAAACGCCCAGTGTGAAACGAATGCAACGCCCGGATCTCAGGGAGAAGGCGGGGAAGGAGTTGGAGGAGGAGGAGGAGGAAGAGGAGAAGAAGGAGGAGCAGCAGGAGGAGTTTTACCAATCAGATACATGTAATCCACACAGTAAGACGACCACAGCACAGCTCAACGCAGCGAGAAACCATTCTTACCGCAGCGCCACAAAATCGAATTTCCTACAGACCAGCCGTTCACATGTGACCGACCCGCGACCACAAGTCATCGCCCTAGAGGTCGGCCATGAAAGTAAACTATCACCACGACGGCTCAAGCACATAGCATGACTATTCACCAACGCGCCACAAATACGTTGACGACTCAATGACCTTACACACGCGCAGCTTATACCACAAGCCACCATTACCACAGGTACCCTTACTACCTGGATCCAAGTGGCAGCCTTAGGCCCACGATGGTTAGCTACCACAGCCTCACACACAGACGATCCACACACAGTGGACCATAGGGCCATGGCTCGAGGACGCGCACGACGCACCTAAGCATTACTTACGACAAATCGAACATCAAGCCCAGAGCTCGGATTCCGTGCCTCGACAAGCAGTGCACATTAATGTAGCAGCACCACTTACGACAGCTAAATTCCGACCATAATGATTCCCCACCAGCCCCCACCACAATTGCAAACCGCATAATTCTGTTATGAATGCGGCCACCCCTCAGCTTGGAGAGCACATCGCACAACCACGCACCCACAACAGTACCAGTTTACCACCAGAGTCAGCGACACCACATGCAAATGCTGCCAGGTACAGTTCTCCACAAGACAACGGCTCCTCACGCACCTACGTCGCAGAGTAGCGCGTTGCCACACATATCAGAACAGGAAAACACATACACACAAAGGGTTTTATTGGTTTTCCGCCAGAAGGGGGCGTCGTTGAGAGGGTGCCTGGCACGGATGCGGGGATCGGGGTGGCGTCGGTGTTTGACATTGGCGGTTTGCGTGGCAAGTGCGCTTAGCTGGTCGCATTTGTTCGGGACGCATGACGGGTGGAAAGGCCGCTCACCAGCAACTGGCAGTCCTGTGCCCGCGGGCCAGAACAAATGGTCGCGCGCTCGCAAAGGGGTGCGAGAAAAAGGGGTTGGGAAGAGAGCGCGAGTCTCATTCCCAAGAAGTCCCTTCGATAGGCAGCAAACACATCTTTTCCTGTTCATCTGCTGCACGGCCAACCGAGAGAACGAACAGCTGTCTCGGCGCGCAGTATTGGCTTCGCTTGCGCGCATCCTGGCTTCCTTCTGTTGCTTTCTTCGCTTCATTCTCGCCCTCCTTTTCCTTTTCCTCTTCCCCTGCTTTGCCTTGTCCCGCCCCCCCTTCCTTTCCAGCTCGGAGCTGCAGCCGCGCGCGAAGAGCGCAACCCACAGGGCGATGCTGTAATTCCTTTGTGTGCCACGGAGTCTCGTGTAACTCCTTTGTGTGCGTGCTGGTTACACTGCCAACGCGGGGCGCACACAGAGTTTCCTTTGGATGCGATCGTTTTCGCCGTCCCCACAAGAGCACGCGCGATTCCTCTGTGTAGAGCTTGCTTTCCCGCCTCGAGGAGCGCACGGGGCCTGGCGCTACAATCACAAGGCCGCGGTGCCTGGCAGTGCGATGCAGCTGCGCCGGATACCACACCAAAAACGAGCCTACGTGGATTTCGGCACTTCTGCCGAAATCGCGCTGGCAGCTGGCCAGCCACAACGCCGGCGCTGCATGCCCGCGCGCGCTGCTGCGTTCTGCTGCCGCGACGCGTGCTGCTGTCAACGTATGAACAAATTGACGTTGCACGGTGGTTTGGCTGTGCCAAACCACCATGGGATGTTTGTTGGTAGCAGAGCTCGGGATCTTGTCGCCGCCGACAGCGTTGCCACACCGTACATGTCAATTGCATATTAGTGTACGGCCGTGCATCAACCCTGGTTCGGATCGCTGCGGATCCAGTGGCACGTGTGCACCATTGGTGGCGCCAAAACCCTTTGTGTGAAATTCCTTTGTGTGTGTGTGTGTTTTTCTGGTTCCTGACGTGCTACCGACAGCGCCGTCGGCCCGTTCTATCTGACGCAGTCCAAGCAGACAACCGAGCGAGCGGCGAGACACGTGGGCCAGTGAATAGAACATGATTACGAGCACACACAGCAACGGTTCTAGCAGTTAAGTCCGTTGAATACAGACGACGCGGCCACGAGCAGTTCACGACACACATACCACCAATAACGACTCTTGACTCACCGCGTAAAATCTTTCATTCCCTCACGGGCAGCCCTGCCTACATACTTCCTTTTTTGGATGATCGACACTGCGACGACCTCCAAGTGGCTTAGCAGTACCAGAGGTCATATACATTTGATTTAGCGCATCATGCAAGCGCCCGTACCAGCCGCCATTGCTAGACCGCCCGACGACACATGGGCAGCACCTACGACACATCGGACACTTTCTGAGCTATGGGGCGCACTAATCAACCACCAGAACAGCTTCTACGTGCCAGACTGTCTAACAGACGAGTGCACGCATATGCCCCCGCGCCTACGCGTGGCCAACTGGCCGCGAACAGCAGCGCAGCCAGGCAAAGGTCGATCGGCTGGAATGTTTGCGCCGCGATGGCCCCGCGCCTCGCGCAAGCGTGTCGCGCGCGAACCTGTGCGATGCCGGTGGGCTTGCCTGGTGGGCCCAGTAATCTTCTTTTGGCACTGGCGATGGCTGGCGACAGCGAGCGCGCGCAAGCAGACCAGAGCCGCCTCGCCCCCCTCCCCGAGGCATGCCCCGCATGGCTTCCGCGCAGGCACGGGGCGGTCTGTCGGCCACCAGCATGCATTCGCAAAGGCGAGCGGCCACCATCGTGCGACTGAGACGCGCACTTCAAGTTGGACCGCAACGGGTGCAATACCGCATGCGACAGATGAGTGATCTGAGACGCGCTCTTCAACGCGCGCAGCACCAGATGAAAGCGCAGCTGTTCACGCGAAAGACAAGTAACACTTGTGCGCGTACCTTTTAGGGGCCTTCGAAGCATGCCCCAGAGGGCACCCGTGCCAGGCGCGAAGCGGGCGAACTGCATTAGTCGCCTGCTGGAGCCCGTCGTCTGGGCCACGCGCGGGGGCCTGCGGGGCGCGCCTCGGGGAGGGGCTATCGGGGCGCGTCGCTCACGGGCTTCATTGGCTTAACAATGACGACCGTTGTGAGGCCTATACTTGGGCTCGTTTTGCTGTTCTGAAGCCCAAGCGCAACGTGTGCGAGTTCGACGAGCCACTGACGTGCAACGTGCAGATTGCGCGCGCGCATATCGACGTCGTCGGCTTGGCAGCGCCACCCCCGCATCGCGGGGCCCCGGAGGGCCGCGTCATTCTTTCGCCATAATTTTTTCGTCGCGGCAACCATTGCTCTCGGGCGCATGCAGGCCCGCTCTTGCGAGCCCAAAGCGTTGCAGCTCTCCTCGTCATGCAAGACGGCGCTGCATCTGCGCGGCGCTGCCCTGCGATGCAGGATGGGCGCCCTGGGGCGCGCGTCGCCGACTGCGCAGACGCGCCGCGACTTGTCTGGGCAGACGCCATGGACGTCTACGCGGCGCGTTCCGTCGCGGGCGAAGACCGGGCCACGTGCGAGCGCAAATGCATGCGTGACTCGCGCAACGTCTCGTCATTCAACCGCTGCGCCGACGACGCAGCCGACGCCCCCCAACAAGAGGCGCATGACGCATGACTACAATCGCAGCGCGCAGCTGCGCCCAATCCAACGCGCGATCCAGCAACAGCCGCAACTCCGCGAGGGCAAGTGCAGCGCATCCAGCTGGGCGATGTGACGAGCCAGGGGCTCGACCAGAGGCTTGCGTACGCGACGCTCTGGCTTGGCCGCGAATGCTTGCCAGCCCGTGCAGCCGAAGGTTGGGCGTGCGCGGTGCGTGGCAGTCCCGTCGCAGTCGGTTTCCTTTCCGATGGCAGTAGCTATTAGTTCCATATGTTACAGCAACGACTTGGGGAAGTACCGTGGCAGTGGAAGCACATGCGCCCGCGGTGGGCGACGCGAGACTTTGGGGGTTCGCCCGCGCGACGCGCCATGCGGCCGACCGTTCCGACGACTCCGCGATGGCCAACCTGTCGCGCCCGGGCAAGAGATGCACGGTGAACGCGTCCAGCCCCAGAAGCGCTCCGCGACGTTGACAGACGAATAGTGCGGTTGAAACTTCCGCTTTGCAGTAATGGCGTGACGGATTCGAAATTGATGAAGACAGCAGCGCGCGCTATCCACGCCGGGATGCGATCCGCAGCCGGGTCGCTCGTTCAGCGCCCGACAGTATCAATCACATTGCAACCTGGTCAGGGCTGCTCTCATTGCCCGGCTTACTAGCCGACCCATTGCGCGCATCTGGGACAGCAGCGTTCCACCCGCCGTCTGGCGCAGTGATCGCTGACGGCGCGCGTCGGCACATCGCGCCGCCAGCGGCTCATGAGCAGCCTCGCTCAACGTGTCGAAGTGCACCTAGTGCCTGGCTCCATCACGCAGCAGCTCAATCTATGCTCTACTGCTGACATGCCAGAATGTGTCACCGACCCAATTTGAGCGATCACCCATGCCGGCGAATGCAAAATGGCCACCCAGAATCGGCGAGCTCTCACCAACGGCCATCGCTCCAATTCACTTTCAACAGGTTGCAACTGTTCTGCGCGCGCCGCGCCCGACGGGGGGCGCCGCCAACTGCGGGCCGCCCGCGAGAAGCAGAGGGCTCGGCGCAGATTTCGGCGAGGGCCGCGCGCGGTGCCGCTTGATGCGCGAGAAATGCGCCATGCCACGCATGCAGAGTTCGAGTATGAAAACGCGCTGCGGAAGTGCCGCGCGGGGCGCCCCCCCCCCAGCCGCGTGGCCATGTGCTGCCGCGCGTCGACTTGCGACCGCCAGATTAGCGCCGCGACCGGGCGCGGCAGAAGCGCCGCCGCCGCCGACCGCCCAAACCTTAGAATGCCAGCGCCGCCGCCTTTCCCCACGGAGTCTCCGCCCATGACGAGAGCGCCGCCGCCAGAAGTCAATGCGCGCCCGTGGCGCGCAGCCGACGTCGACGACGTGGGGCCCCCCTGACTTGCGCCTCTGGTTTCGCCCGACAGGATTGCAGCGCCCGCGGAGGGCCCCCGGCACAGCGACGACGGCGACAGACTATGACAGCCAAGGGCCAATGCCATTTTCGCTAACATCGCACTGCCATATCCCAAGCGTGCCATGCGCAGCCCACCCGGATGGGCAGCTTCCTGCGCCGTGGGAGACTGCGGCTGCGGTTGCCCGATTCGCTGCAATGGTCTGGGCAACGTCTGCGCGCCCCAGTTCTCCGGCGACCGCTTTCCTCGACAAGTGGCGCAGGTGGGTCAGCAGGGTCAGCTGCGAATATTCCGCCGGCGTCGATTGCCCGCGCGCGCTCCCGCATCCACCGCTGCGGCCCGGCCGGGAGACAGCCGCCGGCGTCGCCGGCGCGCGCGGATTCGCTCCCGAGAACTCGACGAACGTTGACCAGCAGCCACCGCCAACGCGCCCGCGTTTCAAACGGGCGCCAATAATGATGCTTGTCGGCTCCTTCGGAGACGCGCGGGGCAAATGTCTGTCTGGCTGCGACTTCCGCATCGACGCCGCACCGG